TTACTCTTACTGCTTCTTCCCTCCTTCTTCCCCCCCTTTTCTTTCCCCCTCCCTTTTCTTTCCCCTTTTCCCTCCTACTGCCTATAGGGCAAGTTAGATTTCTACCTAACTGTTATGCCCTTCTTGAGCCAAATCTGATGAGAGTAAGGTTCAAACAATGCTCCCCCCTCCCTTCTTTCCCTCTGCTGTAATAGGATTTTGTGTCTTTTCCTGTAATGTAATTTACCCTTGTCTGCCTCCTCCTTTCTCAGTACATTTTCTAAGATCAGATTGATCCACTTATTTGGATCCATTTAACCCACTTGATTAGATTTTTTTTATCATTACATCAAAGTCAACTAATATCCACCCTCTTTATGTATACTCCTTTAACATGGTGTAATAACAATACAGTTCTCAAGGGTTGCAAGTGTCATATTCCCTTGTAGGGGTTTAAACACCCCCCTTATTAACAACATATTGTATCTTTCTGTCCCATTTACCTTTTTATGTCCTTCTTGAGTCCTGTACTTGAAGATCAAATTTTTTGTTGAGCTCTGGTCTTTTTATCAGGAAAGTTTGGAAGTCTCCTATTTCATTGAATATCCATCTCCTCCCTTGAAAAATGATGCTCATTTTTGCTGGGTAATTGATCCTTGGCTGCATTCCAAGCTCCTTTGCCTTATGGAATATCATGTTCCATGCCCTGCGGTCTTTTAATGTAGAAGCTGCAAGGTCCTGTGTAATCCTGACTGTGGTTCCATGATATTTAAATTGTTTCTTTCTGGCTGCTTGCAGCACCTTCTCTTTCATCTGGTAATTTTGGAATTTTGCTATTATATTCCTTGGCATTGTCAATTTGGGATCTCTTTCAGGTGGTGATGGTGGATTCTTTCTATGGTTATTTTCCCTTCTGGTTCTAGGACTTCCAGGCAGTTTTCCTTTATGATTTCCTGAAAGATACTGTCCAGGCTTTTTTTTCATCATGATTTTCAGGTAGTCCAATAATTTTTAAATTGTCTCTGCTGAATTGATTTTCCAGGTCGGTTGTTTTACTGATGAGGTATTTTACATTTTCATCTATTTTTTCATTTTTTTTGTTTCTGTTTGACTGATTCTTGCTCTCTCATAGAGACATTAGTTTCCATTTGTCCAATTCTAGTTTTTAACAGATTGTTTTCTTCTGTTAGTTTTTGTACTTCCTTCTTCAATTGGCCAATTGTGTTTTTTAGGGACTTGTTTTCTTCAGTGTATTTTTTTTCCAATTGGCCAATTGTATTTTTGAAGGACTCTTCTACCTCTCTCATTTGACTATTAAAATCCTTCTTGAGCTCTTCTAAGAAGGCTTTTTGGGCTTCAGACCAGTTCATATTCCCTTTTGTTGTTGCAGATGTGGGTTTGTTGACAATGTTTCCTCTTCAGAATTTCTGTCTTGATCTTCACTCTTCTCATAATATGAATCTATGGTATATTTCTTTTTACTCATGGTGTTTCTTTATTCCCTGGCCTTTAAAGAGATTGAGCTCTCCTGCTGGGGAACAGAGGGCACTGACCCAAGCTTCTTGTGTTGGGAGCCTAGGTCTTGGTCACTGGCTTTGTGTGCTGGGGCCTCTTATGTTGGCAATTGGAGGCTGTAGGTTTCTGGCAGCTTACCTCATGTTGGGCTGGAATCAGCAAGGCTGGAACTTTCAGGCAATTCTAGGTTGCCTGCTTTTCCTTTCCTTTAGCTTTCTTCAGCTCCTTTTAGATGGGTGCTGCAGGGTATTTATCTGCCTGGGGCCACCTGCAGTGTTGTCTCCCTCATTTCTGCTAATGTACTGAGAGATTCCTTTGCAGTGGAATGCAGAGGCACCTGGTGGTTTTTTGAGCTGATTTCCATCAGTTCACCCCACCCTCAGTGAGGCACTCAGAGGTCCAGGTTCTGGTGTTTGCCTGTTCTACCACCTGGGCTTCAGGATTTCTTCACAATTGGAGGCTGCAGGGCTCCGACAGTTCACCTGGTGTTGGGTTGGAACCAGCAAGGCCGGGGGCTTTAGGAAGACTTTAGGTTGTTTTCTTCACCTTTTTTTAGATGAATGCAGGGTACTTATCTGCCTGGGGCCCCTTGCAGTTCTGCCTCCCTTATTTTTGCTGAGGCTCTGGAAGACCCATTTGCCGGGCTGCTGCACTGCTGCTCCCAGTCTTTCTTCTAGTTCGTCTGTTTCAAGGTTTTTTTCTGGGGTGATATTTTCTGGGTTTTCAGAGGTTGATAGGGGAAAGTGAGAGTGACCATCTTTTTGCTCTGCCATCTTGGCTCCCAGAAGGGGAACTAAAAAAGCTCTACTATTTGTTATATATGAAAGCACTTACTGTGTACCAGGTACTGTGCTAAGCACTGGAGATACAAACATAAGCACAAGTAAAGAGAGCCCCTGACCGGTATGGCTTTCGATGTTCAGAAATTCAGGAATAGGATTTGGAGGAGAATGAAGGCTAGTCTAAGTGCTTCCAAAAAATGGAGCATCTAGGAGGAATTCACCAATGGGAGAAGGGAAGCCTGCCTTACAGAGAAATATCCAGAATAAGCAGGCCACATGTTTGATAGGTCTTTCCAGAACTAGGAGGCTGTAGCTGTTTAGGGAAGTTCCAGGTAAACAGAAAACTACTGGATTTTTAAAAAAGTCAGACTTGAATGATATAAAATTATAATAACCAGCCTTGTTCCCAAAGTGATATGAAAATTAACCTTCATTTATTTTTAGCAGAGTAAGAGAATGAGGGGCATGGAATATTTCATGTAATGGTGGAATTGAATGGCATTTATACATTTTGGTTTTGTTTTTCTTCTTTCTTTTTCTTCTTTGTTATAGGAGACAACTTTCTGGGAAGGGAAGGTGGAGGGCATATTGGTAAATGAAGAATGATATAAAAATACAAGGTAGTAACACGTTTAAATAATAAAGTGTGACTGTGGATATTTTAGTTTGTTTTGGATATTCCCTTCTATCATTGACGTCCTTGAGGCCCATGCCTAAGAGCTGGCTATTTGAGTCAGATAACATGGACGTTTTGCATATTTAACATAAATTCTATATTTCTTAGAATGTTTGAATAATTCACAGAGTCACCAACAGTGTTAATGATCCTGTTTTCCTCCAATTCCCAAACCTTAACTATTTCTACCTTTTGGCACTCGAAAATTTGTTGACCAGGAGTTCAGCCTGTGCACCATTCCCTCTCTTTCTCTCATCTTCAATTTCTCTATACATACTGGTTCATTCCCTACTACATTTAAATATCTCCAGGTATAAAACAAATTTATCTCTTTGAATGGATAGTCATCCTGCTAGTTAAGGCTCTAATTATGGGCTTGATAGAAAACTGTACAAGCCGGAAGAGTTGGGAGTTTGGGCAAATTATGGCCTTCCTGGGCCTCAACTCCTCATCTCTAAAATGAGGGTGTGGGACGAAATTATATCTGAGGTAGCTTCCAGCTCTTTATGTATAACATATTATTTTGTGATAAATCAGGAATTCTCCATTAATGTGACTATGAAAGTTCAACTAGAATGCCTAGCAATGACTTTGTTACTACTATCTGACCTCCCTCCCTCCAAACCCTGCACACAATACTCTACTTGGGTTATCTGGTAGCTCATTAAGACATTTTCCCTCTGGCATGAGACTTTTGAAGCAGATTCAGAAACAACCATGATTTTTCAAAATATAAATTCCTTTAAGGCAAATACTCTTATTTTTGTCTTTGTATTCTGAGTTTCTGTCAGGAAAAGTCAAGGAAGACTTACAGCAGGTCAGATGGCCCCCATATGGAGACTTTGTTGAGACAATGATTAAGAACTGAATAGAATGGAGAGGCATGGATGGTTTATCACCTGCATCATTGGGGGAACCCCAAAATCAATGAGATCACAGGTCCATTAGAATACTGATTATCCTAAGTACCTTAATTTTTTTAATGGGCTTGTGATTCAATCAGAAAAAGGATAGGCTTAAAAAATGATTTTTTGATTTTAATTCCTAATTTGGGAATACTGTATGCTATTTAGAAGGTATAAACACTGAGTTTATAGCCCATACACATCAGCATCATTGTGTTCATACAAGGGCAGGATATCCAAGGAGAGTTCTGCAATAAAATGTGCCTTGCAATCTCCCACACTCATTCTCTGCTCTCTCACTGAAATTCACTTAAAAAATACTATCTCTCTATCCACTTTCTATTCTTCTTAGAACCCAGGCCAGCTTCCCAGCACCTCTTCACACAAATGCTTTCTGTGTCCTAGACCCCAATTTGCTGAAGTAAGGCCTAGATGACAGTGTATGTACCTAAATGTCCTTTCCCACAGTATGGGATGCTCTGTGGCAACACTTGGAAGCACTCCACATGGCAAAGAATGAGTTTTCCAATAACTGAAGAATCTTTTATGGAAAGGTCATTAGGAGTCATACCTAAAGGTACACAATCTATTGGTGAAAAGTCAGACTGAACTTTTCCTGAGCCTCAGAGAGAATTAACTGGGTGAACATTCTCCACCTCATCAATTAAACTCTCTCCTACTAATAACTGATATTTACAAACTTTAAAATTTCCAAAGTGCTTTCAACATATTTTATGATTTGAGCCTCACAACTAAACCATAAAGTAGAGACTATATGCGTTATAATCTCTATTTTACAGATGGGAAAATTGAGGCTTATGGTGGTTAAATGACTTGACTGTAGCATTCCAATTAATATAAGAGATGAGATTGAATCCAGGTCTTTCTGACTTCAAAATCAGCATTCATTCTGCTACCCTATATTGCCTCGTAATGCATGATACCTTTTTTTCTGGCATTAAATCCTCCTGCCAATTCTCACACATAACAGCCTAAAATGCTTTCTATGTATGCACATTCTCTTCAGAAAAATCCCCACACCAATTTGAAAAGTATCCAGCCAATGGAATAGCACCTAACCAAGGGATATGACCACATCTCTTCATGACATGATTATGTGCCCATACTTGTGAAATGTTAAAGTTATATGGTTTTATGGGGAAACTCACCCCAGCTGATCACTTTCTGAATAGCTACCTGGACAGCTCTATTCCTGAGACTGTAAACCATGGGATTCAGCAAGGGAGTAATAATGGTATAAGTAACTGTTATCAACTGGTCTTTAACTGATGTCACTCTGGATGAGGGTCTCAGGTAAACAAAGGATGCACAGCCATAATGAACTACAACCACTGTTAGGTGGGAGACACAGGTAGAAAAAGCCTTCCGTTTCCCCTCAGCCGATGGAATCTTCAAGATGGTGCTGACAATGAAGCCATAGGAAATGCAGATGAAAATAAATGGGACCATGAGCACAAAGACACTACAGATAAGTATGAATAACTCATTGACATAAGTGACACCACAGGCAAGGTGAATAACAGGTGAAATGTCACAAAAATAGTGGTTGATCTTATTAGAGTTACAGAAGGGCAAGGTGAAGACCAAGGATGTGACTACTATTGAGATCAAAAAGCCAGTCACCCCACAAATGGTTACTAATACTCTGCATGTCCTCCAGTTCATGAGGATGGGGTAGCGTAGAGGGTGGCAGATGGCAGCATAACGATCATAACCCATTACAACCAACAACAGGCAATTGGTGGCTGCAAAGCCAAGGAAGAAGGACATCTGAACAGCACAGCTAGTGAAGGAAATGGTCCTGAGCAAAGACAGAAGATTGGTGAGCATCTTTGGCAGGATAACAAAGGTATAGCAGGTCTCAGACACAGAGAGAGCACCTAGGAAGAAGTACATGGGGGTATGGAGACTATGTTCCAGGATGATGACCATGACAATGGTGATGTTCCCAATCAGAATGACAAGGTAGAGGAAAAGGAAGATAACAAAAAGCAAAAGCTGCATTTCTTGGAGGTTGGAAAAGCCCAGCAAGAGGAATTCAGTAACCATGGTTATGTTCGCAGGAAGCTGTCCCCAGGGAATGACCTGCAGAGAGGAGCAAGGGAGAAAGAGGCTGCTGAGTTTTATAGACTAAGAAAACTGGGGAACATTTATTCTGAATTATCTAGGAGTTTGCTACTATTTTGGGTTTGTTCAATAGATACTTAAATAAAAGGAAAGAAATGCAAGGAGGAGATTTGGAAGAAGGAGTAGTAGTTAGTAGTGAGTGAGTGGGATATAGATATAATTAAGTGAGAAGCTTAAGGCTCCTAAACATTTGACTGCTCCCACTGACTGGACTTAGACTAGATACTTAAGGTGTTACATTTGAGATTTCCTGAGACTTTGGAGGACTTCCCCAAGAGGATAAAGAATATTTGGGCTTAAATTTTTCACAAGCATTCAAAAGAACTTAGTTAGTATGAGCGTTCCTGTGGTCTTGATAAAGGGACTTTCTTCCAGTTATGGAGACACTACTCACTGAGGCTTACAGGCTAGAGTGAAATACAAGCAGATAAGAAGGTGGACTAAAGACTGAAAGGAGAGAAATTGGATGAGTGGCAAAGGAGGGGGACTAAGAGCTAATACCCTGAAGGCCAAACCAGCAGATGTGGCACCTGTTAACAGAGGGGGAAACTGAAATACAGTCAGCAGCAGCTCTTTTTTCCATGCTTTCCCAAAGCTCAATATTACTTAAGCTTCAAGCTCTTATAACAGCTTTTCATATCTTCTTTGCTTACATTTTAATTATTTACTGCTAATAAATTCCATGACTATTATTATATGTAATAAATTTCATGACTGTTAAGAGTGGTTTGGCTGTCAGCCTATAAATTTGTGCCATGAGATGGAAAGATGAGAAGCTAGCCTATGGAAAAAGAGATTTCCTCATTCTTATTATGGAATGGAGGGCCAAGACAACCAGTGAATGGATAAGATGACATCATCCACATGAAAGATGCTGAAAGCCCTGCTTGTGAGAACCTGGAATATAACAGGCTGGTTCTCAGAGAATGGATTCATAACAATTATGTAACAGTAGGAATAAAGTCTAAGATTTCCCCACCCCATCCCAACATCTTTGGTGTCTTTCCCTGACTAAGGTATTTTAAGAATTCAAAATGCTATTAAAATCACTTTGCCTCCAACACTGATAACCTCTTTGTGCAATTGAGTTGGTCTAGGCTATCTGCTTTCCACATCATTGCTCTCTTCAGTGATATTTCTACTTCCTCCTTAATCATTTTTTGATACTGTAGTGTTACAGTCCAAGTATAGTAGCTCCTCCATACTTGATAATGAACTCTGTGTTTTGTTACATATTTACATCTACATATGTTTACATATATATGTACATAAGTATGTATTTGTAGATGTTGACATCTTCATCTTTTTTTCTTATCTTTATTGCTGCTTTAGCCTTAAATGCATTAAGATTATTTTGCTTAGTTGGGCCTCTTGCCAAGTTTTCTTCAAACAGGTTTTATCCTCCATTGCTTCTATTTTATAGAACAATCCTGTTCATAATTTTCCATGATCCTATATTAGACCAATTGATATTCTAAGCCAGTGTTGTCCTTAGCTACCATATCTTCACAAAGAAGGCATTTGTTCCCTAACATGGTTTTCCAGTTTCTGTGTTCTACTTGTAGTGATTGTGGCACTTTGGTTAAACTTCAACATGAAGTTATTTTAATAACTGTTGATTTCCTTTCCTCTATATCACCTTTCTTATTATCAATAACTTCCTTAAACAAGTCAGGTTGGAAGCCTAAACAACAATTTGCCCAAAGGGCTATAGAAAGTGTTCATACCCTTTGCCCCAGCAATACCTCTGCTAGGCCTGTACACCAAGGAGATCAAATTAAAAGAAAAAGGACCCATATGTTCAAAAATATTTATAGCAGCTCTTTTTGTGGTGTCAAAGAATTGGAAATTTAGAGGAAACCCATCAGTTGGGGAATGGCTGAACAAATTATAGTATATGATTGTGGTAGAATACTATTATGCCAATAAAAACTGATGAAGGGAAAGGTTTTGGAAAAAAACCTGGGAAGATTTATATGAATTGATGCAAAATGAAATAAGCAGTATTATAAAAATTATAAAAATAATCAATTGTATAAGACTTAGTAATCCTGATCAATATCAATACAATGATCTCCCAGAACTTCAAGGACTCATGATGTAAAATGCTATCTACCTTCAGATAGAGAACTGATGGACTCAGAGTACAGATTGAAGCAATTTTTCCCCTTTCTTTTTTTTTAAGAACATGGCAAACAAATGGAAATATACATATTTACATGAATTTATATATTGTGTTTTTCTTGCCTTCTCAGAGTGGGGGAGGGGCTGGAAAAATATAAAAAGAATTTGGAACTGAAAATAAAAATAAAAATTTAAAAGGTAAAATTGGTGTTATTTTAGTTTCATATTACATTTTTAAATATTAGTTTTCTCTGGATTTGTATTGATTTTGTTCTTTATGTTAAAAAGTCAGTGGATTGACTGTATACTGACAGGTAATTTAGAAATGACTTTCATATCACTAATAAGTTATTTCCTATCTGTTAAGGTATAATCAATTTCATTATTTCTAATGTCATTTTGGTGAACACCATGTCTCACTCTTTTATTAGTGTATTTATGGTGCATTGCCGACTTCTGCATAATCTGTCAAATATTTGGTCTCTCTCTCATTCATTATTCCTGAACAATACTTCTTCACATATTTTCCACTGTACTCCACTAGTCGCACTTTTACAATGAAATCAATAATGATCAAAGCATATGCTGATTAGATTTGAAATTTTTACCAATTTTTTTCAAAGAATTTTTCTACCTCTTCATCATCTGCTATAGATGTTAGTGCACAAGAAAGATTTTTTTTAAAAAATGAAAAAGGCACACAAATTAAATACCTGACATCTAATCTATTCAATCTAGTTACTGGTGCTTAAAAATATAGATAATGGAAGAAAAACAGACTAGAGAGTGACTTATAGTCATTCATTAAAGAATGTTAAATTATTTAAATAAATTACTTTAACAAGGAAAGCATATTTGACTAGAATCAGCCTTTATTAGCAAACAAATGATTCACTTAACAAACAAAGAATTATGGAAACTAGGGTATTATCTCAAAAATAAAGGTAACTCTAGTTTCAATTGCCATTCCCAAAGAGATTATAAATACTGATATTGTATCTTTAACAAGCAATTCAGTCTTAGGGAGTTGCAATTTTACTTGTCATTTTGGAGAGACAGTTAACTCTAATGTCTGAAAAGAATATCAAGTAAGGTAACAACAAAATACTAATAATGCCCTTCCTGAAAATTTGACTTTAATTATTAATCTTGAAAAGAAATATAATGAATGGGGCAGCGAGGTGGCACAGTGGATAGAGCCCAGCCCTGAAGTCAGGAAGACCTGAGTTCAAATCCTGCCTCAGACCAAACACTTCACACTTACTAGCTGTGTGACCCTGGGCAAGTCACTTAATCCCAACTGCCTAAAAAAAAAAGAAAGAAAAGAAACATAATAAAGAGTATTCTTGAAAGACTTTGACTATTATCATGAGGAAGCTAAACGATGGGAATATGTTTCCAGAATTGAGAAGTTAGAAGTTTCAGTTATGGTTGGAAGTGACTATGGTCATGATCTTCTTCACAAGTGACATTGTAAATAAGTACTTATGTTGCTGTTTTATTGGGGTTTTTTTGTACCATTAGTAAATTGTACAGTCAAAAACCTTGATGTTACTATAAGTCTAGAAGATTAGGAGACTTAAGGAAGAAAGATGAAATAAAGAGGATTTTCTAGCACATATATTATTAAATTGACAGGGGTGGAGTTCAGAATTAATTGACTAGGGAGAAAAGTACTACAATTTAAGCATAATGAAAAAAAATTACATAAGAATCAAACCCTTGCTACTCTTTAATCCCAGAAATAATTCATTATAACCAGCAGGATTCATACCAGGATGTAAGAATGAATCAACATTATAAAAGCAAACAATACAGTGAATCATATCAAAACAAAAACAGAGACAGAGACAAGATGGCCGAGTAAAGGCAGTGACTCACCTGAGCTCTCCCCTAAAACACTCCAAATACCTTTATATAAAGACTCTAAAAAAATTCTGGAACATAAGAACACACAAAAAGGTACAGTGAAACAATTTTCCAGACCAAGACATCTTACTAGGTCAGCAGGAAAGGTCTGTTGCACCATGGTGAGAGAGAAGCACAGTTCAGAGCAGGCCATGCCAGCACAGACCATGGACCAGCAAATCAGGAGCAGGCCTCCCAGCAACTGAATCAATGGCAGGAGTGGCTGTTTCCAGACTTCTCAGCCCAAAGACTCCAAAGACAACTTAGAAAGTTGGCAGGAAAGTTCTGTTGGACCTGGGTGAGAGTGAAGCACAATGTAGTGCAGGCCATGCCAGCATAGACCCAGCCCCAGCAAACCAGGAAAAGGCCTTGGGAGCCACTGAATCAGCAGCAGCAGCTGCTGCTTCTGGAGCTCTCAGTCCACAGATGGTAAGAGGGTCGAACAATTGGTCAGAAGGAGATTACAGGGGTTTCTTTGCTGAACTGGGGACATAACTCTGTTGTTTCACCCATATTTGGATACAGGCCACAGTGCCAGATCATAGGCAAGAAGGAGCACTAGTATACTGGAGCTTGCAGCCACAGTAGAACAGGAATCCTCCTCATAGTTCCAGGGCAGAAAAGAGTGCTTTTGGTCATTCACAGACCAGAGCACAGGCCAAGAGAGTAATAAATACCTCTCCTTAGACCATACCACCTCAGAAGAACTGAAAACTTATAGGTCCCTAGAAGTATTTCTGAAAACAACTGCATAAAATCCCTGAAGCTTGGGACAGTGTTCCCTTCACTCTGGAAGCAGAGGCCAACTTTAACAAAGAGTTAAAGGTCAAGTTGTAGACTGGGAAAATGAGCAATAACCTAGAAAACATACCAGTTCATATTCTGATCAGGAAAGCCAATAAAAAGTCACAGAGAATAATTTTTCCAGCCCAGGGCAGCTTAAGAATATGGATAGAGAGGGAGGTAAGGTGCCTGTCCAGGAACACAGCACATTAGTAGCAGGGGCAGCAGTGCAAGCATAATAACACCCAGTGCAAGTAAAGGACCTGAGAATGAGCATGTGCTTGTGTACAGAGCAAGAAACAAGTTCCAAAAGCTTAGTTGTGTGGCACTGATCCCAGGAGCAGAGGGGGATTCAGTTCTAGCCTTTGGCCTGTATATAACCCTACTGTAGAACAACCAGGGAAGAAAACAAAGACCAAAGGAGAGTCCAGCTGTTTAGTGATTCTAAACCTGCAGAACTTCCTAGTGGGTGACAGTAACTGAGTCCAGCAGCAGTTTACTAAAACTTAACCACATACAAAACACAGAATCAAAGCTGGAGTAATGAACTTACAAAGCTTATACCAGAGAGGAAATGTATAAACCTCTCCCCAGATCACACCACCTTGGAAGTATGGTGAAACATACAGGTCCCCAAAATGAGCTGCTAAAACAGAAGAAAAACATAAAAAGACCGTGCTTCAAACCAGGTGAGCAGAGTCCAAAACTAACATAAAGTCCAGACTCAAGAAGCAGTCTGGAAGAATGGGCAAACAAAAAAAAATGACCAAAAGAATCTATATGGTGACAAAAAAAAGCTCAAGAAACAAAACACAAAAGACAATGATACGAAGAGATCTACAGTCAAAGCCTGAAAGAAAATGCAGATTGGATATAAGCCCAACAATAATTCCTAGAAGAGCTAAACAAAGTGTTTTTGCAAAGAAGATTTTGAAAACCAAATAAGAATGATAGAAGGAAAAGTAGAAAAAGCAATTAGTTACACAAGACAGATATGAAGAGAGAACTAATAGTTTTGTAAAAGAGGAACAAATCATTAGTTAAGAAAATAATTCCTTAAAAATTAGAATTGACCAAATGGTAAAATAAATACAAAACCTTATTGAAAAAAGAAATGCTAAGGATAAGAAAGATAACTATAGACCAATTCCCCTAACAAATAATGGTGCAAACATTTTAAATATATTAGTAAAGTGATTACAACAGCATATTACAAAGATTATCCTCTATGACCAGGCTAGATTCACACCAGGAATGCAGGTCTGATTGTATATTAAGAGAACTATAAACATAATTGGCCATATCAATAACAAAAAAAAATTATACTATTATTTCAATGTATGCAGAAAAAGCTTTTGACAACACAACACTCATTCCTAATCAAAAAAAAAAAAACACTAGAAAACATAGGAATAGAGCTTTCCTTAAGATGATAGGTAGTATCTAAAACCAAGAACAAGCATTGTCTCTAACAGGGATAAGTTACAAGCCTTTCCAATAAGATGAGGGGTGAAGTAAGGATGTCCATTAACACCATTATTGTTCAATAATGTGTTAGAAATGCTAGCTATAACAATAAGACAAGAAAAAGAAATAAAAGGAAAAATCATAAGTAATGAGGAAGAAAAGCTATCACTTTTTGCTGATGATATAATGATTTACTTAGAGAACTCTAGAAAGTCAGCTAAAAAGCTAGTCAAAACAATTAATAGCTTCAGCAAAGTGGCAGGATATAAAAGAAAACCACACAAAGCAACAGCATTTCTATTTATTACTGATGCAACCCAGCAGGAAGAAATAGAAAGAAAAATTCCATTAAAAATAAATGAAGACAGTATAAAATACTTGGCAATCTGCCTGCCAAAACACATCCAGAAACTATATAAACACAATTGCAAAAGTCTCTTCATACAAAAACTGCTCATGGGTAGGCAGAGTCAACATAATAAAAATGATGATATTACCTAAATTAATTTACTTATTTAGTGCCATACCAATCAAGCTACTAATGAACTCCTTTATAGAGCTAGAAAAAAGGTCAAAAATATCAAGGGAATCAGTGAAAAATAATAAGAAGGAAGGGTACCTAGCAGTAGAACATCTCAAACTATACTACAAAGCTGTAAATATTGAAATTATTTGGTACTGGATAAGAAATAGAGTGGTTGATCAATGGAATAGATTAGATACATAATACATAGAAGAAATAATCACAAGTTATGATCTATGATTGGGATGGAATATTCTTCTGCTACAAGAAATGATAAAGGGCAAGGTTCCAGAAAAACCTTGCAAGACCTGTATGAACTAATGCAAAGTAAAGTGAACAGAACCAAGAGAACAATCTAAATAGTAATATCAATATTATAAAGATAATCAACTTTGAAAGACCTAATAACTCTTATCAATACAATGATCCACCATAATTCCCAAGGACTCCTGATAAAATATCTCTTTCTACAGCCTCCCCCAAAACAGTACCACTGTTTAATACTCTCATGCATTCCCAGGTCCCTTCTTAAATCATAGAATTCAGAGGTAGGAGGGACTTGAGAAATTATCTACAATGACTCCTGCTTGAATCATGAATCCCCATTGTAACAGCTTTAAAAGAGAGCATTACTTCCAGTAACTACTTCAAGTTACTGCCTTATAAAGCAGCTCATTAGATATTCAGATGACTCAATTATTAGAAGCATCTTTCTTAAATTGAACTAAAATCTCTCTCCTTGTAACTTTTTCATTAGTACCAGTTTTACCTTCTAGAGTCAAGCAGAATAAATTCCTATTCAACATTGCAACCTTTTAAACACTTCAAAACCAGCTAGTTAGTGTCTAAGGGAGAATTTCAATTTTCGTCCTGAATCCAGGTCAAGCACTATGTTCACTACACCATTGCAAAGATTGTATCTTATTTATATTAATTTCACCAACCCTGAGAGGAAGGTATTATATTTTTATCAGATATGTGTTGGTCTAAGTGGCTGTTGAGGTCCTTTCTAACTAAAATGCTGTGATTCTGTGATCCTCATTTTACAGATAAAGAAAGTAAACCCCAAAGAGATTAAGTGAGGCAAGTTAGGTAGTGCAGCAGATAGAGAATTGAACCTGGAGTCAGAAACACCTTAATTTAAATCCAGTCACAGACACTTACTAGCTGTGTGATCCTGGGCAAATCACTTAACTCAGTCTGCTTCAGTTTCCTCATCTGTAAAATGGGAATAATAATTGTACCTACCTCCCAGGGTTGTTGTGAGTATCAAATGAGATAATGTTTGCAAAGCTCTTTACAAAACTTAACGCTCTATATACATAGTAGATATTATTATTACTACTAATCGTTGTGATATGCAAAATCTTAAACAGCTTCCAGTTGGTGGGATCAGGAGAAAATCTGGGTTTTCTCACTCCCAGTTCTATATTCTGCCCATTCCGTCACAGAACCAGGGAATAGGGATGCTTATTGAGTTAGAATAGCTCCCCTAGTTTTTGTTCCCAGGGTGGATAAATTGCTGCAGCTGATAGTGGAATGACCAATTCATCAATACATCAACAAACATTTCTTAAGTGTCTCTTATGTGTCAGGCACTGCGCTAGCCACTGGGGGTACAAGTACAAAGAATTGAAATAAACTTTCATTCTATTGAAAGAAATGACTGACAAATAGACTGGTATGGAATTGCCTCCAGGACTTTCCCCAGACAAACTGACTCTCCCTTACCTCATCACTACTCAGGCTCTTCATCCTTAATGTTGGTTTTGTAGCTGACTGGTTCCCAGAGTGAGGCAGGAATGTGAAATTCAAGGAGAATAGCTTCCTAGATGGCAAGATCACCTTTACTTATTTTCCCCTTTTTTATACAATGTGGGTCTCTATGATGACTTAACTCTAGCTCTGGAGTGGCAAAGAGCAGGAAGGGAGTGTGGTTAGAAGGTCAATACATTTATCTCCCTGCTCACATAGCACTCAGGAGGCTATCAGGAAAAGGTGAGATTTCTGGGGTAACAGGTCAGATAAGGAAGATGTAATTGAGGAATGTGGAGATACTTGCACTTGAAAAGGAGGGAAACATGGTGTGGGGAAATGAGAGAGAAACAAGGTGACAAAAAGGATATATAGTCAATTAGCCAGAAAAATTGAAGGTGTAACTGACATGGATGACATGAAGGACACCGTACCTTCTGTAACAGAAATATAAAAGGGAAAACAAAGTCAGAGTTTGAAAGTTCCTTGGTTTCTCTACACCTGCTTTGCTACTTAGGAAATAAAATGACCTCCTGACATTTCAACAGCAGTACTGCCTTCCTTCCCTTCCTGCCTCTTTGTTGTTTCATTCCGCTCATTTTGGTTCCATTATCGCCACACAACCTCCTCCTCAACTCCCCCACCTCCGGCTCAGATAAACACTTAGGACCTCTCTTCACTCCCATATAATCTCCTCCCCCCATTTGTTTGTCCAGTGACTGTAGGGAGTAAAGGACAAGGCAACAGCTCAAAAGAAACTTGATCATCCACGAAATAAGCAAAACAATCCTCAGGCATAGATATTGCTGTCAATATTTCAATAGTCAGGAGGTGCTTGTGAGTTAAAATCCCCATTCCCTTAATAGTGTCTTCATCTATTTCACATAAAGAACCTCATACCCATTTCTTAAGTCCAGTCTCAAATATGAGCCCTAGGGCCCAATGGCATAGTTTCCCGTATTTCTGTAGCTGGTTCTTCTTTCTGGACCAGGGAACCCCAAAATGAAAATCTCTGTAATAATCTCCTCTTGCCATGTGATGTGGAAGTCCCTCCACATGCCCCAAGTACTATGGTCTTACTGAAGGAGATCTAATTCCCTCCAGATATCCCTTCATATCAGTGCCCTCACCTCACATCCTCACAAAGGCTTCCTTCAGTCTCTTCTCCATGGACATTTCATTAAGCTGTCACACCAATGAGCATCATTCAGGGCCTTTTCTTTTGTTTCTGTGCTATCTGTGTCCCCAAAGCTTTTCTCAGAAATTGTGTTACTATTCCCCTAGAGAGTCATTACTATACTGGATTTATACCTCCAATTAGAAACCAATGAGGGCAACCAGGGCCAGTACAGTAACCTCAACAATCTATGCACAGGATGAAAATATTGAGACAGTGATAGTAAGAATTAGAAGGTCACCTCTCAAGAGTTCATTGTTGATTTATTAAGGATTTGCTAGCTACAGTGAAGAAAACAAGTTCCCTCCCTCAGGTTTCTCTGCCCCAAATCCCTAGGTTCTCATTATCCAGACTAGACACAGAGCTTGCTGACTTCTTCTCTGTCACCCTTACTCCATTCTTATTTTCTGTCTCTGTCCTCAAAAACAAAACAAAAAAATAAAAAAGAATGAGATTTGAGGGACTGAGGAAAGATAACTTGGACTAACAGAGACAGAAAGGATATTACAACAATTATGGTCAGGTCTGGGAAGCAGAAGGGAATAGGTACATGGCCAGGTGAAAGCCACAAAGTCTTTCTCTGACTTAGGGAGCTAAAGAGTTCTGTGGCTGGGAACTCCTCATAGGGAATTAGCTAGGGAAAGAATCTCACATGACTCCTCTTATGGAGCTCAGAAAGGCCGCACTGACCCCCTTTCTCCACAGGGACTCAGCCTTAAGTCAGGTAATAACGGCACCAAAGAAAAGTTCTAGGTACAGAAAGTTCAGTTCCTTTTTAGATAGCACTGGAAGGACAAGCAATCCTGCAGTCACAGAGGCATGAAAACTAAAGCTAAAGCTTGCCCCTCACTGGTGCTTTCTTTTATGTTCACAAAGAAGGTGACCCTGGATTCTATGTGTGTCTTGTTCTATGGGAGGCTGAAAGATGATGTATCATATTCATAGGTATGCCAGATCCAGACTGGCTCCCTTGTCTGCTGGTGCAATGGAAAGAGCACTGATTATTAAATCCAAAGACTTGACCTCAAATCCTAATTCATTCATTCACATGGAATCTTGTATTATACTGAAGAAATAATAGAACCTTTCACAATTTCAATTTTTTTGTTCTGGATAATAGGCATAATAATATTTTTTTCTGAGGCTTCCCAGGGGACACTATTTCACCCACCCAGAACCAGTTGACCCACTGCCTATGACCTCTGTCTTTACCCCTAAGACTTCCTGGGAAGCTTCACAGATACAGCCTAACCACACGTTTTCTGCTTTTGCCCATGTATCAGCCCTGATTCAGCCTGCTTAGCAGTGGTTACATTGCCCTTGAGTCTTCCCAGAGTACCTTGTATCATCCTCAGATCTAGGCATCAAGATTGTAGATTCTGTCCTGAGCCCAGAACTTTTTTCAGCATTCTGGAAATTAATCCCAGACCAGACCTACCACAAATTATGAGCTTTTGTTTCTGTTTAGACTTATCCAGCTCCACCTTATCTACCACAGCCTATTGTAAGATGGGCCTCCTGTGTCTCACAGGACCTAATATCACTCACCGAGTGTCACAAGTCTGGACATAAAAGGAAGACCCTAAATGGTCTAATCACCTCCTTTCATCAATAGACTTCTCTCCAACACTGATAATCTTCCTGAGCTTTTTCCTCAATAGTTCACACTCATCCTTTCATCAGTGCTTAGAGTTAATACAGTGATTCTGTGTGAATCAATAGTTATCATTGTATAAACTCGATTCCCTGTCCTTTATTACCTTCACTTTAATCCTTCTTAGCTCTGACATGTCCAGCTCTTCCAATCCCTTCCATTGTGGAGTGTTTGCTCCATACCTAAGACACCTGTTTCATATTAAAACATTTCTATTTTTACTTCTTCCTTTTTTTTGTACTTATTGAGACCTTGCTCCCTTGCAATGGGCTGTCATCTCTGGTCACCCTTTCCAGCACTAGTTGTACTTTCATTCATATTGTGGTTGTGGTGGAGGAGTTAGAAAACATCTTCTTCCCTATTGCCAAGTCTTCCTGCTACTACAATTAGAGAGAAATCTCTTCCCTTTTCATGTTCATTCAATCCATATTTATTGGCCAATGAAGATTGTGATATTATTATCTGTTGATCTCTATGACACCCTTCTTCCTTCCCCAATGAATTCAATACCTGGTTGAAGGTTTTCTTACTACATCAACATCTACTTTCATAGCAGAAGATTTCAATCTACACATCAATCCTCTCTCAAACATCCTAACTTTCTAGCTATTCAGTTTATTCATTTCTCATAATCAAATCCTCTACTTCACCTCAGCCTCCCACATAAAGGGAGATTTTCCTATCACCCATACATTTTGCCCTTGATTTTCCTATCATCCAAACATGTTCATGAACTCTGAAATTCCTTTATTAATTCATCATCTCATCATTTCATCTTTTCCTCTGCCTTAGAATCACTAATCCCATTCTTTGTTTTCATTATCTATAAGTCCTCAGTTCTTTCCCAGATGAAAAACCCAAGCACTGGGAACTTCTTGGGGAAGAGCCAAGATGGTAGAGTAGAAGAAGATCTGTAGCTGACCTCTCTCAACATTCCCTTTCAAAGAACTTTAAAATAAGGAATCAAATCAAATATGGAGTGGCAGAGCCAGTAAGAGTTCAAAGTGAAACATTACTCTAACCTGAGACAATTTAGGAGATCGGAAGGAGAGATCTGTGACACAGGGTGGAGGTTCATCCAGAGCTCAAACAGCTGCAACACCAAATTTGTAGTTAATGTGGCAACAGCTGCAGCAGTAGCTTCAGGAACTCTATAGCCAGAGATGGTAAGGGGATCAGGCAACTGATAAGAAAAAGATTACAGTGGAGAGAGCACCAGCCCTGAAGTCAGGAGGACCTGAGTTCAAATCTGGCCTCAGACCAAACACTTGACACTTACTAGCTGTGTGACCGTGGGCAAGTCACTTAACCCCAATTGCCTAAAAATAAAAAAAAAGATTACAGGGAACTCCTTTGCTAGCACTGGACACAAGACCAGAGTTGTTTGGCAACTCCATTGCCTATACCTACCTCTGGGTCGTAGTTCAAAGGCAGGAATGAGCCAATATTGGTCGGGGGGAACAGGAAATTGGGAGAAATTTACAGCAAGTTTCTCTGACAAGGATCTAATTTCTTAAATATATAGGAAACTGAGGCAAACATGAAAATAAAAGCCATTTACCAACTTATAAATGGACAAAGGATATGACCAAGAGTTTTCAGAAGAAAAAAATCAGTTATTAACAGTCATATAAAAAATGCTTAAATCATTATTGATTAGACAAATGCAAATTAAAACAACTACCTCACACTTATCAGATTGATTAACATGCCAGAAAAAGGAAAATGACAAACATTGGAGAGGATGTGGAAAAATAAGATCACTAATGAACTATTGGCAGATTTGTAAACTCTTCAACAACTCTGGAGAACAATTTGGAACTATGCCCAAAGAGCTGTAAAACTATGCATACCCTTTGACTCAGCAATACCACTACTAGGTCTATATCCCAAAGAGATCATAGGAAAGGGAAATGGACTTATATCTACAAAAATATTTCTAGAAGCTCTTTTTGCAATGACAAAGAATTGGAAATTGAGAGGATGCCAATCTATTGGGGAATGACCGAACAAGTTATAGTATATAACTGTGAATGGAATACTGTTGTTCTATAAGAAATGATAAGCAGGATGGTTTCAGTTAAACCTGGGAAGACACAGTAATGTCAATTGTGATGATAATCAACTGTGAATTATAGATAAGACAATGATCCAAGACAATTCCAAAGG